CATCAATTGGAAGATAATTAAAATAATATAAATTTAGTTCCAAGTGCCCAACCAAAGGGAACATTAATCACAATCATGGTGATCACAATAAATCAACATGAATTTATGAAGTCAACTAAACAATTTTGATGTTCTCTTAAAATTTGTAGGTGTATTGACAATAATATTCAAGATGACTGGACAATGAGTGAATGCAAATAAGAATGATGACTGCAGAAGTGGAAGAAATGAGTGAAAGGTCTATTAAGAATTGCCCCGCCTCATAAACCATTTGCCCCGCCTGTTTTTTTGTTTTTTTTGCTTTAGCAAAATGGTACCCAAACCAGTCAAGTAATGTTTACTAGGTTTTTCTGAGTAACGAAGGCATAGCATGCAAACAGTACAGATTACTACGAAATTTTAAGTAAGTTCAACAAATTATTAGACATTAAGTAAAGTTAACTTAAAAATTCTTAGTAAGAACAATGTTAGATTTTGCAGTATTTCTCAAATGTGCATACCTGTGATTCAGAGAACGAATGTACGCATAAAAAATGTGCCTGCGCCTCTTTTCCAGATGTGAAATCCTCGTAAACACCCACTAATTAAAGTCATTAAAAGGATAGTTCACCTAAAAATGTTGTCATTACTTGCTCACCCTCAAGTTGTTCCAAACCTATATGAGTTTCTTTCTTCTGTTGAACACAAAAGAATTTGAAAGAATGTCGGTAACTGAACAGTTGATGGCACCCATTGACTTCCAAAGTAGGAAAAAAAAAATGACTGGAAGTCAATGGGTGCCATCAACTGTCTAGTTACCGACATTCTTTAAAATATCTTTATTTGTGTTAAACAGAAGAAATAAACTCATACAACATGAGTGTAACATATAAATGAATTGCTTATGTTTCCAAATAGGCCCTACTCCGACTCTGCCACAAATAAAAATCTGCTTTGATCCTGACATCATGGTGTGAGGCTTTTAGTATTTGCATATTTCCTTCCAGGCAAATCTGCTAATGCATGCAAGCAAATACAAGACTAACCAATTCCAGATTGAGTCTCATCCTGATATACAGCACTTTTTTATGTCCAAGATTTTTCTTATTATATGACCATTGGCGTAAACATTAGCGTATGCACACTCTAAGATCAATGTTTTATTAATGAGATCCCAGGTGTGGTCATTCTTCAGACAGCTCAGGACTCAGATCTGCTGGATTGCAGACAAAACATTGACTTGGCATTGTGCAAGTCTTTAAGAATTGGGTCAAAAAAGAAAAGTAGTGAGATTTGAATAAAGATTAAGCAGCGTCAGTTCTGCCAGCTGACTCTCAGCTGATCTACGTCTACCTATAGGTCTGACGCCTATCACTGTATACATATATAAGCTCCTTCAGTATTATCAGCAGCTATCGTGTTTCTCTGGAGCCAAATACCCTCCTCCCTCCCCAGCTCCTCCTCTCGTCAGTCAGGATTTGGCATTCTGATTCCTCCTGAATCAGACTAAAACTTTCTAATTATGTTGTACATAAAATTTAATGAATGATATCTGCAATACATTCATGTTGGTTCTGTTCTGTTTACCCTAAGGGGGGTTATTGCTGCTCTGCCTGCTCTTATCCATGCTAGGCTGCATGGATGCGCAGGGAGTTCTTGCCCAGAACGGAACCATACCGCCAATCCAAACTGTATGCGAATTGTCAATCGCATTTGACGATAGTGGTCCTGACCGAACTGGGGTTTCTTTACTTTAATTGAGCGTCAGTGTCAGTTCTGGCAGGCCAAGTAGTCAAGATGCTGCTAACGCTATCGGCCATCAACAAGGTCTCATCAGCGATCTGCTCAGCTGAGCTGGATCAGCGCATCTGCTGTTCATCTCCCCTCGCTGCTAATGCCTACGCTCAAATCAGGGGCGCCCTATTTAAGCAGATTCAGTTCACTACTAACTGCTTGTTGCTCGCTCTGTGCATATTGAAACAGGACTCGATGTATTCACTCTCAATTCATCTCTGAAAGTTTTCACAAAGCTAAGCTAAATCTTTTTAATGCTCATTGTTAAAAGCTATCAGGATACGGGCACCATGCTGTTGCTAATGCTATCCATGTGCTTGGGCTTATCTAGTCGTTTTCATTGAAATGCTCTTGCTAGGCTTTTGCGATCATATTGGCAATGTGCGTTTAGTTATCTGTTGTCATTGGCAACTGCTCACGTTGCACATGCAGTGATTTAGCACTATAGAGGGGTTTCACGACGCGTCATCAATCCGGAAGTCGGACATTTTGAAGGCACAGAACGTAAATAATGCCACTGAACTGAATGGACTCGCAAATTTGGGTGATTATTGCTGCTAAAAAATGGTCGAGTTTTGGTCTGTACCAATCAGTCACATCGGGAAAAAACCTGTTGAGTGCTATAGACTGTCAAAAGTTAAAGAGAAGAGTGCAAAAACTGATGAAAGAAGGCGTTTGTGGTTGAGAGAGGTACAGCATCAGCTACTGGCGCGCTGGACTACTGGAGGCTGGTATGTAGCCTACTGCTTTTTCCCCACGCTCGTCTGCGCCGGTTTCAGAAATAATAACGTTACTTTTCTGCTCGTCCGGCAATTTGCAACAACACAGCATTGTTTCGGCAGTGACTTTCAGCATGTTTCCTATAAATGAGGTTTGCATTTTAAGACATACCACGCGAAATCCGATAGTTCAGACTGAGGCTGATGTCCTGATATGTGATTTGAATAGGATTTCAAACCACATATGGATGTAACTTGAAACGGATTTCATGTGCTTTTTTGGACTGACAATCTGAACGTATCCTATGTCGGGATAATAAATAGATGGAAGAATTGCAGTAATGTTACGTGCTAGAGAAGCTAACTCGTTCGGATCTTTACCACATATTAACTTTAGTTTGTCAAAATGTTGCGCTCTCTGCTTCCCAAGTCCTTCTCTATATGATTTTGCACCTACCACGTGTTTTTTCCGTGGTTTATTAGTGTAACAATGTGTTCAGTAGTACATAAACAGTGCAATCCATGCTGTTGTTTACATCCGAGTGCCTCCATTATGGCCGTGCATCCGGGTTAGCGCCCAGAACGTGACGTTGGTGAAACCCCTCTATGCAGCACAGATCAAGCAGCTTGCAGTGATAGATAGTTAGTAAATAACAATTCATGGTGCAAACTGAATTATTTCTGCTGTGGCACAGCTCTAAAAAGACATAGTAAACAGTCACTACTCAGTGAGTAAATTAAAAGAAAGTCTCATCTGCTAAATCTTACTTGTCTTTCTTCTGCTTAGTTACATTGCCCCTGGATGCGCTTACTGGCTGCTGGCGCCATTCACATAGCGTCTAAAAACGTGTAGAAAACGCTTCTCCTTTTCCCAAAGCGCTTGGGCGGTTGCGCTCCGGAGGCGTCTGTCGTTGCTGTTGCTGGTTCTTGTCACGTGACCTCGGTGCGCTTGCGGCATTCTGAAAAGTTGAGATGTTTTTATCTCGATGCGGCGCGGATGTGCTTGGAAAAAAACGAGCGCGTTCGCATACCGCGCGCCTACATATGAATAACAAACTTGAGCACGCAAAAGACGCGATATGTGAACAGGCCCTAATTCATCCTTCATTTATTTTTATCACAGGAGGTTGCTTTATGGTCTGTTTGGGGGGGAAAGTTCAGCTCTCCTAGTCCTAATTCATGTGAGCGTCCCCTAATGCTGCCTGCTGCTGTCCCCTGACTCTCTACTAAATTAATGGTGCTCATGAATGGTCAGGAGACTCATCTGAACTGAAACATATTGCCAACTAATTCGTATTTATTCATAAAGATTTCTAAGCATTTTAATAGTCTAATTCCATCTCTTGTCTATTCACAAGAGGTTGCCAGGTATGGTTTGTTTGGGGGGGTAGTTCTGCTCTCCCAGTACTAAACTGTGAGCGTTCCCTAATGCTGCAGCTGTCCCTGAACAGAGCCATACCGCCAAAATTTAATTATCAACTTGAATTGCATTTTATTCAATACTATTTCCTAATCATTTATTGTCATGTGTGTTCTGGACTTAATGGACCTGACAGAAATGAGTTTGTCTATAAATGTTTGACCCCCCCCCCCCCCCCACCCCCCCCTCCCCCCCTCCCCCTACCCCTCCCTCTCCCCTTTCCCCCTTCCCCCTTCCCCTTTCCCCCTTCCCCCTTCCATTTATATTTATTCGCCTCAAAAAATTTCAACTCAAGCATAAAATTCACATGATGCGTCACGCAAACCAGTCAGTTAACAGCTTTTTGATAAGCCCGTGCACTGGGCACCTGTCATCCTCAAGTAGTGCATGGAAACGGGTGTCATTCAGGCCTTATTACTTAATAACAATTAAAAATGTCACAAAACATGCCTAAAAATGCTATTTCTTTCAGAAATATATAACCCATTTATAACCAAGATTTAGAAGTGTTGTATATCAGGATGTCACACAGTTTGTTACGTTTGTATTTGCTGGAATGGATCAGCCGATGCATTGGCAAGTGTGACAGAACATTTGTTATTTAAATACTAGAAGCCTCACCCTCTGAACATGGCATTAATGCTGAGCAATCACAAAAGTGTGGTGTGGAGGCAAATGTTGTCAGCTGAGACAATGAAGAATCAAACTTAATCTATACAGTGAAGACTATGCAGTGTTATTTTACATTAGATTACTTCATTCAATGTCTGTACCTAATCAACCTAATATGTATAGCAACTGTTAGATCTTCCTAAAAAACAGAAAAGCTCAGTTTATTTCATTTTGTATCTTTGTTCTATTGTGTTTATTTGTGCTTTTGCTTGTAGTTTGATTATTTGTTCTCATTTTATTACTTGTCTTTAATAGTGTTTGAAATGTATATTTTATATTATTTCTATGGTGATTTTTTTTTTTCATTTACATTGTTCTTGCATTAAAAAATCTGCCGTGTATGTGTGTGTGTGTGTGTGTGTGTGTGTGTGACAACCTTACAGGCATAAAAACACAAATTTGCATTTTCCTTTCTGCACTTGCATGTTTTCTTTGTTTCAGCATGGTTTGAATACTTGATACACAAATACTTGCCTGACCGTCTGGTTGGTCAGTGCCTTCCAGTTTTTATATTGTCTCTCAGAAATAAAAAAACCAGCCCTTTATCACTGAGCACACACAAAGGCTGTGCTGAGTAGATCATCTGTGTAGAAATGAAGGCTGCCGTCGCTCTGCTCCTGTTTTTGAGTCTCTTTAGACTGAGCTTCAGTCTCTACAGAAAACACTTCTTTGTGAATACATTAATGACCTGGGAAGATGCACAAGCATACTGCAGAGAATACCATGATGATCTGTCCACTGTCAATACAGAAGAGGCAAAACTGCTCTCTGCAAATCCAGGAATCAATCATGAATATTTTTGGATTGGAATGCACATGAGTCCTAACAACCCACAACAATGGATTTGGTCTGGAGGTGAGGATGAAGACATTGACAATTGGGAAATTGGGGAACCGAACACATACACTGAAAAGTGTGGCGTTGTAAGAAGATCTAATTCTAAACTGCACAATGCTATGTGCTCGTGGACTCTACCATTTTACTGTATGCATGTCTTTGAACCCATTCTGGTGCATCAGAACAAGACGTGGGATGAAGCCCTGGACTACTGCAGACAGACCTACACTGACCTGGCGAGTCTAAGATCTCAGACAATTATGGCAGAGGCGATAAATAACGCTACATCATCCCAGACAGCTTATGTGTGGACTGGCCTGCGCTTTATGGCTGGTCATTGGTTTTGGGTCAGTGGTGATGATCTTCAATATAAAGCCTGGTCTAAGGAGGGGGAGCTCCAGTGTCCTGCCAGAAATCTGCGCTGTGGAGTTCTAGATAGAGAAAATAATATTTGGAGGCCGAACAATTGTGAGGATAAACTGAACTTTCTTTGTCTTAAAAAGCTATAAATGTGCTTCATGTTGCAATATACATACATTTCTTCATGTAGGCCTATATATAAAATTGATTCTTTTATAAATCATGAATCTGTAGAAATCTATTGCTTTACAGTATGTATGTATGGTCGTTAAAAATAATGTTTTTTTAATCTTTCATTTTAGTCGTGTCAACATATATATTGTCTTGTAAAACAATGTTTAGCTAAAATCTTTTATGGGCTTGCAGAAACATTATAAATAATATGTACTATTGTAAAAATACAAGATTTAGATTCTTAGTTACTAGCAAATTAATAGCCATGTTAAAAAGATATGTAAAACGATCATGCTTTGTTGGTTTTAAACTCAATGATATTTTCACGTAGCCTATATCATACGGATTAACAGTTTGGTCTAGGACTAACCAGGCTGTAATGTATCAGATTGAATGTCTTTATAACCATGCCTTGAAAAGTTTAGGAAGCAAATAAGATATCATCATTGTAAATATAAGATTCCAAGTTTTGCTCATTTTGTTTGTTTTCACTACAGCTTGTATTCAGGTGTTTAAATGATCTTGCTGTAAGACTTGATAATAAAGCAATAAAACGCACCCTGGACAGAAGATTGCGAAGAAAGAGCACAGGACATTGTCCTGTCGAAGCGTTTCTTCTTCCTTATCTCTGCATCTCCCTCTCCCTCCTCCCTTCCTTTCCCCCTGACCTGAAGTCACTAAAAGTTCACTGAAAATGTCTATACATCACATATGATGTATCTTGTGAATCTATTGTTTTTACTTTTCATGTTTGGTATCATTTTAAGTGTCTCAGTGCGATTGGTAAAATGGTCTTAATTTCATTGCAGTCATTGGTAATAGGAGAAAGATTAAGAACTTAGGAGAATCCTGTTCTCCTCTATTTGTGATGTCTTTTCAAGATATATCCCCTCTCCCCCCGAGACCAGGTGCTACCCCCTGGGGTACAGGAATTGACCCAAAACAAACTCTGAAAAATATTGGTACAACCCTTTTGTTCTGGTCTGGGTTTTTAAGGCTAGGCAGAGCAGTCGGGGGGAACCTGTAAGTTGTAACCAGGAAAACCCCCATACAGTGCTGTGTAGGGCTGTCACTTTACTTTCGAAAATCGATTGCACAATTGATCGGACCAACCAACACAAGTTTCGAAAACGAAAATGTGGATTTGATTTTAATGGCCTTTTCTTTTCCTTTTTTTTTTTTTTACCAAAAATTTGTTTTTGGTGGACAGATCAATACAATACACCGAACATGTAGGATGTTGGAAAATAACCATGTCTTTTCTGTTAACCAAATGCTTTTTAATATTCGCTATTAATTCAATGCAAGTGAACAAGCGCGCCATATTTGTTGCCAAGTGTGTGTGTGTGTGTGTTCAAGTAAGCCAGAAATGCGCAGATTCTGCGCAATACGCTGTATTTAATATATCATGAGGACTCGCTAAATCCGCGCAGATTTGGCTTACACAAACTTCCCCAGGAAAGTGAGTAAACATAGAAACACGCCAGATTGGTAAGTGATTTGACAGCGTTACCTGCCAAAGTTAATTTCTACCCGCATTTGGCGGGTGTTAATTTCAATCCCTGAATGTTGCACTCCTGTTTGTCATTGTGCACGAAACTCCACGCCAATAAATCATCAGAAATATTGCTGACTTGTGCGCGTCTCAAGCGCCCTTTTTACGTTCTTCCTAATGCCTGTTAGATGTCCGTGGATTTGCCTGTATTTGGCGAAAATGGAAACGTCTTTAGACATGGAAAATCGATTTTACAATCGATTCAATGAACACTTATGTCTCAAATCGAACAGGATTTTTTCACAAAAGTGACAGCCCTAGTGGTGTGTCAGGGTTTTCCCGGTGGAAAGCACTCGCACACTACTGTGTGATCAGGAATGCATTGCTTACTTTTAGAATCATCATTGAGTAATTGATGTCATCAGGGATGTAGTGATGGAGCCCTACTTACTTGACAAAAAAAAAAAAAAAAAAAAAAAAATTCTTTCCTCTAAATCCTCGCTTGCCTGCCTTATGCTACTCCGAGCTATGGCTGAACTTTGTATTTTGAGCACTTCTTGCGTTGCTTTTGCCTCTTCACGATGACTCGCTTGGTTTAGTCCTCAGTTGTAAGTCGCTTTGGATAAAAGCGTCTGCTAAATGACTAAATGTAAAATGTAAATGTAAATGTAGTGGAGGCTAAACGCACGTAAACGCCGTTTACGCACCTCCCAATATTCGGAAATAGCGTTTACCCACCTCCAAAGTGCGTTTATCCACCTCTAAATTGCGTTTATCCACCTCTAAATAGCTATAAATTAAGCTTATGTCGTTTTAGTTTCATATTGTTAATTATTAGTTTCATAGGTTGTTAAACCTAAGACGAACTCTTTCATATTGCGCTGCATTACTGTCAGTGTTGTAGACTATTAGCCTTCTGACGGTCGGTAAGGTTGCTGTTGACGCTCGCGCAGCCTCTCGAGGAGACATCTACACAAATGAGCGCACACACACACTCAGTTAACAACATACTGCCTATAAAAAATCTAAATGTGGAGTTTTTATATTTTTAACATATGTTAAGCAACCTCAATTATTTTTCCTGAACACCGTCACGATTGAAAATGTGACATTGATTTCATACAACAGTTCAATAAACAGTTAAAATTAAGTCACTTACATTTTAGATGCAATATTGGCTGTTTTTGTTCTGTTTCAGCAGCGAAAATAGTTCCAAACAAAAATCACAGCAGAACCACGGCACATCTCACAGGAACACTCAACCTGTTTTCATTACTGAATGATTCAGCATTTTGAACGAATCGATTGAGTCAAAGATTCAATGACCCATTCATAAACATCTGTCTCATTCTTGAATGAATCAGCCGTTTGAATGAATGAATCAATGACTCACTCATTAAGACGGTCGCCTGCCGCCACCTACTGGCGGTTTGTGTTATGTTTAAAAGTAGTATCATTCTTTCCAACGTTTCTTATTTGTAAATTTAAATCAATTTCATAACATTATTTTATGCAATTGTAATTTTTCAGTGTAAATGATTTAATTTGATCAGCCCTATAGTGTCTTATTATTCGAAATAATTGAATTTATTGATCAAATTTAGGAATTTAAAATGAAAGATGAAGCATACATTTAATAATATTGGGGAGGGGATGCCCTTTAAAGGTGCAAATATTACAATATGCCGATTTAAATATCAAAGCTAATTGAACACTGATGAGAATATTGTTTCAGAATAAATTAACACACACACAAAAAAAAGAAATCCTGACGAGAAACTTTTTTACAAGTGAATGACAGATTTACTTGTCCTAAGGACAAGCGTATGAAAAGGCTTAATGTCGAGCCCTGCCTAATAGCAATGTCATCAGGATACACATACGCAGTGGCCCACCTTACCGGGTGACCACGTCGTGGTCCACCAGAATTTATAGTTTACCCACCTCTTTTTTTACAACTACACCTCTGGATGTCATGTATTTATTATTTCTGAATTGGCTGTTAATTGCTTGTGTAATTGACACATTTTTACCTGACAAATAAATGTTACATCTGGATTTATTGTGAAGTATTCTGAAATCATTATTTTAGTAGATTATGAGGAGGCTGGTGCTACCGCAGCTCTGTGTCCAGGATAAGTCAAACTAAAGGCGCATATGAACGGAGCAGTAGGCACGTCATCTGAAGACCTTTTGATTTCTGTCTATCACTGACTTGGCAAGTTGTATGGAAGTGGCTAAATAAACTACACTTTTTTTTGTATGAGTGAGCAGTAGGCAACCGACTTAAGAGGTATTAGCAAACCCTGCACCCTCTGACCAAGATCAGACTGGCAAGACTGTGTCCGTGAGATCCACGTAAACCCGGAGCGCGTGACTCTGTGCGGCATTGGGTCCCTTAATGAATGAATGAATAATTGATAGTATGGGATACTCAGAATAATCAAAGATCTAAATTAAATCATAATCAATATTTATGATTATTCTCATGGGCCATTCCCTCACTGCTTCCACCTTTACAGGGTCGGCCATAATTCCGTCCGCAGAAATTATATGCCCTAAATACTTGACACGAGAGGAAAACAAATCACATTTAGAAGGTTTTACCTTCAGATTTGCAGCCTTCAACTTAGCCAATACTTCCCCCAACCTTGATAAATGCTCCTGAAATGAACGACCAAACACTATAATGTCATCCAAATAAACTAAACACGTAGTCCATTGCAAGTCAGCTAAAACCAAATCCATTAAACGCTGAAATGTACTAGGTGAATAGCAAAGGCCAAAACTTAAAGGGCATATTGCAGGTTAGAGGACCCAACAAGTCAATGTATAGAAAAACAATGTAGTAATTAGATTTTCTTTAAAATATACTTATAAACGTTACATTGGCTTCTGGAGTCGTTTTTGTGAGAGAATTTTACTTCCGCATCTGAAAATGGGCGTAACGGGCGGGAGAGCGGTCGATTCTAACCATTCAAACAACAGGAAAACAATGGATCGCAATGACATTTCGGACTTACTCGTATGTCAGACCACTGACGACAGCCTTACAATTATGAGCCTGCTATGCTGCCGAGAGAGCAGGGACAGGCCAGGATTAATGTTAGACAGAACAACGGTCAGAGGAGACACACATTATTGCAAAAGTATTATAAAAAAACCAACATGACATCATGACTTTGCGTAAACATACACGCCACTGTCAAGTCAAGTGGCGTGTTATCTATACGCATTTTGAGCTATCCGCGTGTATGTCCACGCCGAAATCTTTTGCGTGTATGTCTACGCCGTTACACGTCCGAGTGATTCCGCGTGTATGTGTACGCCGTTAAATGTCCGAGCGAAACGAAGCAAAACGTACATCTACATCTGCGGAGCGATATTTCTTTTCCTAGGATGGTAGGGGAAGACTCATAAATGGTATTAACCCCAGTGACGGGTAGGTTTAGGGACGGGGTTGGGGTAGGTCATATATTTATATATACAGTAATGTAGTTAAGTCAACGGCGTTGATAAACACGCTGAAAAGCGATTATGCGTGTTGATAGCACGCCAAAAATAGAAATACGAATTCGCGTGTCATACATACGCCATTTCATGAGATCAGTCTGAAAAAAACTTGTGTGGAGTGA